GGGATTTACTATTGGGGAAATTGAGGGAAGAAGAGACTGAACATAAACTGCACCTATGGATGAGGACAATGGGGGATGGGGGGGGGGGCGGAGGGTGGGGTGGGAACCTGGTGGAGGGGGGAAGAAATGAGGAACCTTTGTAATAATATGAACAATAAAGATTGATTTAAAAAAAAAATAAAAAAATAATAAAAAAAAAGAAAAAAAGAAAAAAAAGAAAAGTTCTGCCCTTGGAGAGTTTTGGAAGATTGGTTGCAGGCGTGTGCACCTCTTTGGTAAAGGCGCAGACAAGCTTTGGATTCTGGCCAGTCCCTCCTTAGAGAAAGCCAGCTTTTGGGAGAGCTTCTGTGCTCAGCCACAGATGGGGCGGAGTCTCAGGTTGGTGCAGACAAACTTTGTTTTCCCTTCGGCTCCTCCCCAAGTCCCTCAATAATGGCCTCTGGCTTCACACACCTCCAAGAGATCTCTGCCCGCTGCCTGACAGTCTGGCCTCTCCCTGTCTGGGGCCGTCTATCAGAGCAATAGGGTGATTCTGTTTTCCTCTCAAACAAGAAAGCCAGCCGCGCCTTAGCTGTTCGCCCTCACCGCGCGCCAGGAATAAGCCAGTAGCAAACTCAGCCCGGCCCACCTCTTCACGCTGGGAGTAAGCCAGCACCTTTTCATGCACACTGTTCTCCGTACCTTCACAGTTCCTGAGGTTCAGCATGCCTTCTCTTTCCTTCCCAGATGGCAGAGCCTCCTCTCAGCTAGCCATCGCGCTTCAGGGCAATGCCTTCCCTGTTTTTCAGTTCTAAATTCAAATTTGTTGTGGTAGGCTGCATTTGGGTGTCTATCCTATGCTGCCATCTTGGTTTCTCTCCATTTTAGTTCACTTTCTTCTATTGAGGAAAAAAATAAGCATTTCAAACTGAGTTCAAACTATTTTGCAATCGCTTTTCTGAACTTCATCTTTATAAATTTCTCACCCAATTGCTTTCTTAAGATCATGCCTTTTCACTTTAGATATCTAAAATGTAATTATTTACTAAATACTTGCTTTAGCACTGACCTCTGTGGTTACTCCGTTGAAAATCTTGCTGTAATTTGACATGCATTCATTAAATACTTCTGTTTCTGATCTGGTACATGGGTGATAATAACCATCTTTCAAGAAAGGCAAACAATTCAAACACAATTTGACAAAATTACGAAGCAGCAATGTCAGTTTTGAGAACATAGAAAACAATCTGAACAGGGTTGAAGCCTCTGCCAAGGATTGGTGTTCTTCAGACCACGGACAGCACACACAAACATAGGCGGAAACAATATATCTGCAGGCACTGGCAGACAGCATTACCCGCTAAATTTGGCCACAGTTTAAGATACATAACTTTTCAGTGACAAGTAGGGCTGAAATTACATAAGCAGCAGAAATTACGAAGATATGAGCCTACGAGTTTTCTGGGTTTCAAAATTTTATGCAATCAATTACATGCTGACATCTGTAACACCATTTTATTCCCAAAATAAAGATGCCAGAAACATAAAAGATGAACGTCACTTGATGACTTTTGTTCAGAAATTGAAATGAACTCAGTTTAATTCTTTGAAATAACATTCTCGAGCCACATTTTTATTCAGGTCATTAAGACAACTATAATCATCTCCTTAAAAGGAAACGTTTCATTAAGAATGCAAAATGGGGAACTGAAAATATCGAGGGGAATACTATAAAAAAGTATATGATTGTCCAACCACTAAGCTGTATACCCGAAAGCAATAATAATAATAGTTAATAAATAAGTGGGGGGAAAGCTAGAGCTGCAGCCCATTTTGAAAACTAATATTTGTAGCTTGTTGTAATAATAGTTCCAAATGTGTTTTTTTTATTTTTAAAATATATTTTTATTGATTTCAAAGAGGGGGAGAGAGCGATAGAGACATTAGTGTTGAGAATCATTGATCAGCAGCCTCCTGCATGCTCCACACTGAGGATCAAGTCTACAACCCTGGGTATGTGCCTTGACTGGAATCAAGCATAACCTCTTAGTTCATAGGTCAAAGTTCAATCTTTGAGCCACAGCAGCCAGGCTAAATGTCTGTTTTTTACTACACTTGATCTTAGCCAGAAGGCCGAGAAGCAATTAAATGTCTGTTTTTTAAATGAAAACACCCTTACTGGTTTTATCTTGAGTTTGAGCAGTAAGAATTTAAAAAGCTGAAAATGAAAAATAGCTGGATATTCTGGTACCTTCCATATTAGTAGGTAATGGCATTAACTACTTACCTTCTTAATCTTTCCCTAAAAATGACTATTTAACCTAATTAAACTTTTTTAGAGTAATCTCTATCATTATTATAAAATGGTGTTCAAGAGGCTGAAAACCCTGAAAAATATGCATATGGAAGCTCCTAATTTTTATCTATATAGCCCCCCAAATTGAAGCGACATTCTCTAGTGAGACTGAAATTCCCCAAGAACCAATTTATAATACTGGATATCTCTTAAAGCAATAAATCCCTTTACCTCCCCTTGCACATGAACCAAGTTCTATTCTAAAAGTGATATTGCAAGAAAGTTGAAACCCTGAATATTAAATTTTCTTAAAGAATGTCTCCATCCCTGCCCTTCTGGTAGTTAAATTTTTCTTTCTGGTAATTTTCTGTTAACCTTAATCACATTAAAAAAAATTTTAGCTAAGACTTCATTTTTGTTATTTAAATGCTATATATATAAAAGCCTAAATGACTGAATGACTGGAACGACTGGTTGACCAGTTGCTATGATGCGCACTGACCACCAGGGGGCAAATGCTCAACACAAGAGCTGCCCCCTGGTGGTCAGTGCACTCCCACAGCCAACCTTTCACAGCCACTGGCTGTTCCTTCTGCGCCTAGCCCAGCAACCATTGCCTCCTCTCCCACCACGCCCGGGGCTTTCAGGCCCCAGGCTGGGATTGGGAACTGGGGCTGGGTGATGGCAAACGTGGCCCCTTTCCCAGAAGGGCTGAGAACTGGCAGCCAACCTCCTGGCTGGCAGACCTGATCAACCTGCCACCCATCTGCCACAGTGACAGTGAGGGAAGAGAGGGAGGGAAAGGCGAGGAACTGTGCAGTAACGGGGTGCTGGCAGGTATTCCTTCCACTCCTGGTCTGGCAACTGTCACCTCATCTCCCAACTCCACTGGGACCTTCAGGGCCCCAGGCTGGGACGGGGAACTGGGGGTAGGTGGTGGATGTGGCTTATTTCCCAAGGGGCCAAGGGCTGGCTCCCTCCTTGGGACTGGCTGCCAACCTCCTGCACCCCAACCCTCCGCCAACCGCAGGCCCCGATTGGCCCAGCCCTGATTGCCAGTCAGGCCTAGGGACCCACCTGTGCATGAATTCATGCACTGGGCCTCTAGTATCCTATAAATAAAATGAGCACTTTATTAAAAAATAAACCCTTCTATCTTTCATACAATATCACTTGAGCCAGGGACTTTTTTTTTAATCTACTACCTACTATTTGCTGGAGAGCATTCATAGATCTCAGACAGAAAATACTCTCAGTGGCCAATACTATTTTAAGGTATTTTTTCAAATGAGTAGATTGACATAAAATATATAAAAGGATAACTTTATTAAACATACAAATTCAAAAACAGGTTTGTTTTTTTTTAAGATGACAGAATAAGACAGAGTGGATCAATAATAATGGTTTATATACATACCATACTTACCACATAGAGTAGGTAGATGTACCAACTTCAATGTTCAAAATAAAATGAATGTCATATGTTCCTAAGCTGGTTTTATACTCTATGACTTCTAATGATGGGAAACTTCTCAAAACATCTGCCTCCTGACTTATTTCCCATAGGAAGTTTGATATGCTGTCATTGATAGATATCAATTTGGAATATAGGAATACATAAATCTCCCTCTTTGGTCCTCTTTTGCTTTGCCTACTTCATTATCTCTCTTCCCACCACCAAGAATAAGTAATCACCTTCTCTGAGCAGGACCAATCTAGTCAAAATAAATACAGAGATTGGGACGGATCTAGGGAGATGAAAAATCTCCATAATAGTCTCTGTGTTCACTCTTTTAGCACCTACCTAATAATATGTACGATGGTGAAAAGGGGCCTACACATTGAGAGAAAAAGAAAATAATTTTGCCTGGGGTGGGATAGAAGGGGTTGTTGGGGGGGAAAGGAGGACATATATAATACTTTCAACAATATTTAATTAAAAAAATAATTTTGGATTAGCAGTCTTCACCTTGGTCCTGTAGCTTCCATTTATCAACCAGTATATGCCTTATTTTAAGTTTGTAACTGTAAACATATACAATATTTAACAATGCACCCAAAAGCTTTGTGGAAAGCACCATATAATTTTCAAGAAGAATGTGTAGGGTGGGAGTAGAGAAGGCAAAAAAATCAAGTTAGAAACTTTTTTTAAAAAGGCAATTCATAAAATAAATGCTTCCATAGAATACTTTAACAGATAAATTCAATTTTAAGTGATATCTCCCCTAAACATGTTCTCATCATTTGTTTTAGTGTTCATAAAAGCCATAATATATGCCTCAAGGAGGAGACTGTCTTAACCTACAGAATGGTGAGAGCACCAGTACCAGGTTGAGTTTTCCAAAAGTACACACAGCTCATAGTACGAAGAAGCCCATTGAATCCCTAACACAGGCACTAATTTTCAGACTTGCACCTTGAACTGCCAAGGACTATGCTCCTTCAGCATATGTCAATGACAAGTAATTAGGGAAATTAAAAAACTGATTCTCCTGGGGTAGTTCCAACTCAAAGAGATAATGCTGTTCATCCAAAAAACTATCCCAGGCACCTAAAAGAATCTTAATCCTTATTTTGGAATCTTCTAAGAGAGGAAATACTAAAATTTTAAAATAAATTATTCATCCTGGCCTGGTCTCTAATAAAGAACTTACGGCTCTACAAAGAACTCTTTCACTCCACCTCACAATCCACAACAGCAAATAATAAATGAAGAACTAAGTAATCATAAATTCATATCTTTAAAAAAAGGATGCAACAAAGCTTCTTCTGCTGTTATCCTTGAAGCTGGATTTAGATCCAGAAGTCTATCAAGCAGGTCATAAGCTTCATCAGGTACCGTGTCCCAGCCTTCCAGATTGGTAGTGTGCGCGTCCAAACCCCAACAGCCATTTCTGTTCCCTTTGGACAAGTGCCCTGAGTGCTGTGCGTGAGGTGTTTGTAGGAGGCGAGCAGCTTTATGGTCAGTCTTCTCTGAAAAAGTTGGGTCATGAGAAGCAGGTCCTTGTAAATCACTTGTTAATTTAGGAGTGTTTGCATCTATGCCTCTGAGCTTCTCACAGAGTTTTCTCAAGTCTTGTGCTGGGACTTCTTTGCTACACAATATTGATTTGCCTGGAAGAGAAAAATGACACATATTTTAGATTATTTGAACAAACCAGAAGCCTCTCTCAAGGAACATCCATTGCTACATGGATGTATTTACATTGAGCATGACACAGCGTGCAATTACTTGTCATAGGTACATTTTAAGCTGTGTTTTGCACTACAGAGCTGAAGGTGAAATCATAAAGTGGAGGATCGTAAATAGAAAGCAGTGACTCACTAAGCTAAGGACTCACTTGACTCTGCCAACATCTCCAGCTTCACCGTATCCCTCTGTAATCAACAATCAGCCACAGCATCCATATGAACTTGACTATGTGGTTCCTGTCTTGGCCAGGATGCCCTGCCTTCCCCCATGTGCCCAGATAGTTCATTCAACTCAAGAATTACCTCTGCGAGGCCTACACTGTCAGAGAGTTGACCATTCTAAACTTCTATAGTATATTGTGAAGATTTCTACTATTGCTTTGCTAACTTGTGTTGTAACTGATAAAATGTCTGTTTCACCTACTAGACTATGAATAGGGATATCTTATTTATCTGAATTCCCCAAATTCTAGACAATGTTTGGAACATACCAGATTCTCAATACCTGCTGGATAGGACAAAAGGCATTATTCAGCCTCTCATGTCACTGTTCAAATATCACATCCTACAGAGACTGTCCTTGACCAACTTATCTAAAACAGCTGGCCCTCCCCACTCCCTTCCCCTTTTACCTTTCTCAATACTACTGATCCGGATGGCAGAATATATTTATTTTGTCTTTCCCTTTAGAATTTAAACTCTGCGAGAAGAGAGACTCAATAATAGTCGCTGGCACACATAAAGTACCAATAAATGTTTTTGAATGAATGAGTGATCTTGTTGGTGATCTCAGTTTTTAAAAATATAAATGTCTTTAAAACAATTTTGCCACAGAATTATTATTAGACTAGAGATCCAGTGCAGGAGATTTGTGGGAGAGAAGTGGGGGAGGTTGTCCCCTCAGCCAGGCTTGTACCCTCTCGCAGTCTAGGACCCCTTGGGAGCACACTGACCACCAGGGGGCAGCTCCTGCGTTGAGCGTCTGCCCCCTGGCAGTCAGTGAGCGTCATAGTGACCAGTCATTCTGCCATTCGGTCAACTTGCATTACACTTTTATTATAGGATAGGCAAAAATAAATTAAGCATACAAATGGGCAATAATGTATTATTTTTTGCTTTATATTTCCTTATTAAATAGAAATGTGACTAAACAATGAGTAGCATAGTATATAGATTCCTTTTTGGGGTATTTGTTAACAATGTGGATTACTAAAGCAATTAATTAATCTAGCCTTGGATAATACAAAGTTATTTTTACATATTCTGATCTAACCTAATTAGGAAAAAAGGAGGATTAGCATGGCAGACAAGGAGGAGAAAAAGAAAACAAATTACTAAAAACTAAGTTAGTTGAGGATACAACATACCAATCTCTTTTTACTTTTAATTCTATTTTATCACTACTATTCTCTCTAGAAAATGATAGCCAAATGAGAATAGTCATATAATTTTATTCCTTAATTTACAGGCTACTCTGAAGTTATGAAATAATGTTATGTGCTACAGCATCTCCCCAAGTTACACAATATGCCTAAATTACTTTTATACATATCCAAAGAGAGGACTTATTATTCAGATGCATTCAGTAAGAAAATATTTTGTTGCCCTAGCCATTTGGCTCAGTTGGATAGAGTGTTGGCTTATGGAATGAAGGATTCCAGGTTCAATTCCTATCAAGGGCATGTACCTAAATTGAAGGTTCAATCCCTGGCTATGTTTGGGCATGTGCAGGAGGCAACCAATCGATGTGTCTCTCTCTCATAGATGTTTCTCTCTGTCTCTCCCCTTCCCTCCCACTCTCTCTAAAGAAATCAAGGAAAAAGTATCCTTGGGTGAAGATTAACAACTAAAGAATTTATTTTTTTTTTGTCTTTTGAATTTATTTGACATAACAGGTACTTACATGACAACCTATCATGGGGCCTGATGTAATGGTTGAGAACAGTAGGGCAGGTTACACACAAGGAAAAAGAATTAGAAGTATTCTCACTGATAATCTTAGGTAAGTTGCTTCTTTGAATCAGAAAGAATAACACACTGCCGTAACCGGTTTGGCTCAGTGGATAGAGCGTCGGCTCGAGGACTGAAAGGTCCCAGGTTTGATTCTGGTCAAGGGCATGTACCTTAATTGCGGGCACATCCCCAGTAGGGGGTGTGCAAGAGACAGTTGATCAATCGATGATTCTCTCTCATAGATGTTTCTAACTATCCCTCTCTCTTCCTCTCTGTAAAAATCAATAAAATATATTGAAAAAAAAAAAAAAAAGGGAAGAAAGAATAACACAGCCATGGTTGCTTAAGTTTGGAGTACTGTCTCCAAGCTATAGTAAGATTTGACTGACATATCTATAGAAGTCATATTAACAAAACTGAGACAATTGCTATCTATGTAGCACTATTTTTTTAGTAGTAAAATAACCATTACAATAATAAATTTCTAAAAGCTCTTGCCTGCTATGAGACACTTGCCCTGGAATGTTTTCGTGTCAGATGTTGTATTTCCATTATTGGGCCTGATTATAACTGTGATTACAGATGGAGAGATTTAACTCTTCAACAAAATGCTTTGGTTTTCTCTGATAAACACCATGTTCAAAAACTTCTCATAGAGTTGTTCAATAGTAGATGAAAGTTTTTTGAATCAGTTGAGTCTAAATATACTCATGTAAGAATATAATTTTTCAAGATATCAATCTTAATTTCCATTCATGGTCACTCTTCCCTCGTATGTATGTATTATGTCAGCCTATTTTCCTTAGATAAAATTTTCTTTTACGATTCAATTAAAAAATGGACAAAGGATCTGAACAGACACTGTATATCAAAGAGGATGTACAGAGAACCCTGGCAGGTGAAGCTAAGTGGTTGGAGAATCAGCCCAAGCACCAAAAGGCCTTGGGTTAATTCCTGGTCAAGGGCCTATACGTTGGTTGCAGTTTCCATTTCCAGTGAGGGCATGTGCAGAAGGCAACCAATTGATGTATCTTTCACACATTGATGTATCTCTTCTCTCTCTCTCTCTCTCCTTCCCTCCTACTCTCTCTAAGAATGAGAAAAAATATCTTCAAATGAGGATTAACCAGCAAAAAGATATACAGAAGGCCAATAGACATATGAAAAAATGCTCAACATCACTAATCATCAGAGAAATGCAAATTAAAACTACAATGAGTTATCACCACAGACTTATCAGAATGGCTATAAAACAAACAATAAGAGTTGGTAAGAACATGGAGAAAAGGAAACCCTCATGCATTTTTGGTGGGGATGTAGATTGGTGAAAAGCAGTATGGAGTCACCTCAAAAAATAAAAATCGAACAGCAATTCTACTTCTGGTATATATCCAAAGAAAACTGAAATGCTAATCCAAAAGAATATATGCATTTCCATTTCATTGTAGCATTATTTACAAGAGCCACGCCTGGAAGCAGCCCAGTGTCCCTCAGTAGATGAGCACACCGAAAAGCTGTGGTGCATTCACACAGAGGATACCACTTGGTCATAAAAAGGAAATCTACCCTTTGCAACAGCATGGATGAACCTGGAGAGCATTATGCCAGTGAAATAAGCTAGTCAGAGAAAGACAAGTATCATATTTCACTCATATGTGGAATGTAATGATCACAATAAACTAAAAAACAAAATAGAAACCAACTCATAAATATGAGAACAGACATAGAACTGTCAGAGGGGAGGGAGTGGAGGAGCTGGGTAAAAAAGGTGAAGGGGTTAAGGAAAAAAAAAAAACCAAAAAACAAAAACTTGTAGACAACATTATGGTGATACTAGAGGGAAAAGAGGGTAGGGGGAGATAGAAGAGGAAAGAGGAAAATATTTTTTTCTTTTGATAGTTGCAAGAAAGGTACAAATTGTGGATTGGATTGACTTTGCTACAGAAACATTTTTGATAAGCCTCTATTATGAGGCTTTCTTTATAACCACCACTAAGTTTTTCTGATGAATCAGACCATGGCACTGGTGCCTAAGCAAGGGACAATTATTTTCTTAAACAGAAGTAGGTCTTGGTCCAAATCACTTGTTCTTGTTGTTTTTAACTAACAAGCTGGACCCTTCCTATGAATATTTATCTGAATCATATTTTCCAGGAAGGGATGGGGTGAGACAAGCATATGTATTTCTTGCAGTTCCTCAGATAATCCTGTTTATACCCCTGATTAAGACCCAATTTATGAATTGCTCTTTAATGAAAATAAAGTAGTAATTTATTAAAATCCTGGTGTGCTTTCATAGTAGCCATTGATAGATGTGATGAATATTAGATGTGGTTGAAATAAGTCTTCAAAGATATATCTGAGAAAGTAGAGGCAACTTATCCTGATCGAATAAAATTATTGTACATCCATATTTACTAAATAATTAGCCTCTATTCTGAAAACCAAAACAGTACAGCTCTCATATAATTATATCAGAAGAACAGGAATGTTTCTTGAATGTTTATCATGTGTATTTTAACAAATGGTCACACAGCGGGCTTGTCATGCTTTATTTAGGCTATGTTTGAACTTATTTCCATTAATAAAGCTGAATGCATTTGAATGTACAAAACAAAACCCTCAAAAAAACAGACCCATTGATCCTTGGGCTGGGCACAAGACAGCTAAGTGATTTTATATATATATATATATATATATATATATATATATATATATATATATAATTTTTTAAAATTGATTTCATAGAGGAAGGGAAAGGGAGATAGAAACATCAATAATGAGAATCGTTGATAGGCTGCCTTCTGCACGACCCTTCTGGGGATCAAGCCCACAACCCGGGCATGTGCCCTTGACTGGAATCAAACTCAGGACTCTTCGGGCTGACGCTCTATCCACTGAGCCAAATCAGCTAACGCAGCTAAGTGATTCTTGAAGTAATCTGACTGAAATTTTATCACAAAGGGGTATTTCATATTGTTTGGTAATAAATGGACTCAATCACACCCACCCACTTTGAAAAATACTAACATAATTTGCATGTACCCTATGATGTACACTATATCTCCCAGTCTAGAACTATAAGAACTAAGCACTCTGTGTAGCTAAGGAGATGATTTCCATGTCCAATATATGCTTACAATAATGCTATATCAGTAAAGGTGTTCTATTCATTTTTTTCTCTGCTACAATAACCCTAAGAAATTTGACAACTAATATACATTCTATTCTCATTCCTTTTGCTATCCTCATTAGACTGTATTATAATTAAATGATTACTTGTTAGTATAGATTAAAATCATTTAAAGAAAGCCCTAAAACACAATAAATAAATTTTTAAATATTATTAAAAATATTTATGAAATAAAGTCAAACCACAACTATCGGGAATTAAATTTTGTGTCTTATTCTTTTGTTTAACATTACAGAGTTAAACTTTAAATATTAGAGAAGTGTAGTATTTTGTGCTTGACAAGATTAAATAAGTATATGTATAGAGGAGAGTGATGAAAATTTTTCTTATACAATGCAATCAATTTTTAAGCATCTGAGAATTTTTCTAACATGAGAGAACTTTATGAATACAGAATATTTATATGCAAAGAGAATTTTATAATAATTTATAATGTAATTTGTGGAAGAAAATCAAAGGCATTTGTTTTTTCTATAATATAAAACTGCTTACCAAAAGTTTTAGCAGCCTGGATAGTTTCTCTGGATCCACGAATTGTCATAATTTGAGCCAAAGCAGTTAAATCATCACTTGCTTTATAAAATGGATATCGTCCACTGAGCAAAGAAATAAATATGACACCTGCAGACCACATGTCAATAGCTGAAACAGAAAACAAACTTTTACAAAAATTCCCAAATCGATAATTTTATCATCTACACCAGTAATTCTCAATCTTTACTTACATTCAAATTATCTTGAGAGCTTTAAACATTCTGATGCCCAAGCCCAATTCCTTAGATATCCTGATTTAATTGTTCTGGAGTAGGGCTCAAGCATCAACGTTTTCAAATGTTCCCCAGATGCTTTTAATGTAATTCCAGATTGAGAATCTTTTGTCTAATATCTTTAATACACAATGCAATGTTACTTTTTCTTTAGCAGCATTCTTGGTAAATTTAAAAGGAATTTAACCATTAAAAAACACCAAGTAAATGCACATTTTAGAAGGTCAAAAGAAATCCAAAAATAACTGTGCGGGGAAAAATCTAGATGCTCCTAAAAAATTATACACCACAGTAAAAGTGGTCAACTTTAGTGAAAAGTATCCAACAGTAGTAGCTCTTCTTCAGCCAGGTGCTAACCCTACCTCTCATTCTAGAAACTTTATTCTCCAGAATTCTGGCAGTTAAAAATAAAACAAGCTGTTTAATGTCCAGAAACGTTTTTATCTTTTAGGGACATCTCTCCTAACCGTTGACCTCTTAGTATCCCCAAATTAGTTCTCTATTCCCTTAGCCATTGCATCACCTGCCTTTCTTGGTTCCCTTTGTACTCCTGCCTACTCTGTCAGTTTTCTCCAAGCCCCAAGTGCTGAGGTTCCCCAGAGCTCCCACCTCTTCCCTATTACACTTTCCCTACTTGGCTCATCCTTTTCATGATTTTAACTACCATTTACATAATGATGACACTCAACTGAATTTCCAAACCAGACTTCCCCAAGCTTAAGATTTACTTTTATTCTGTTAGCCATTTCCATCTGAATGTCCTAAAAATATCTCAAACCAAGTAACGCCCCCAATCTTATCCTTCCCTGTAAGTCAGCTTCCTCTTCATTCTCCACCTTGGTTACTGGTGCCCACCCAAATCCCCCAAGCTAGGAATCTGATAAATATCCTTGATGCCTTCCCCACTTATCTACATAGCTTTGCCTTCCCAATTCTTCACTTTTCCTTTCATTCCCATTACTAATGCCCTCATTCAGGTTTTCATCCTCTCTCACTTCAAGGTCACCACCCTCCAAAATCTATCTTTTCTTACACACATGCCAGAAAATTTATCTAGAAAAATTATTACCATCTCTTTCTCTTCATAACTTTCTAATACCTAAAGGATACGGTCCAAGTCATTTAATAAGTGTGATGTGACCTTGTCTCTCTTCACAGGATTATTTCCCATCACTCCTTGACTTCCATCTTATATTCTAGCTACACTAAATTTTTGTTTCCTGCATGACTAGATGATGCTGTGTGTTGAGTTCCTGTGCTCATGCCTCGATGCCAAGGCCCCCTCCCCCAATTTACAATAAAACCTCTTAGAGGTTTCTCTTCGTAAAATTTCTTCCAAAATCCCTTCATGTAGGATAATTCGGTATCCCTAAAATACCTTGTATAAAGTTTTATAACCACACTTACTGGGTTATTGTAATTATTTGAGAGTGTGTCCTAACTAGAGTATAAACAAATAGTTTCATTTCTTTTTTGTATCATTAGTAAGCACAGAATACACACAATGAATGAATGCATTTTTTTAACATCCATAATCCAAGTGTATGGCAGGATTCATCTATTCAAAAAGATGTTTCCAGGTTCCAGCGCCATAACAACTTTCTTATTTCTCAAAAAATCTTTTTAATGCTATTACATTGTTTTGCAATAACAAAATATAATTTTAATGAAGCACAATCACATGTGCATCACAGAAAACTTTTGAGGTATTAGGCAAATAGATAAAATTCTGCAAGTCTTAAGTTACCAAAGACTACTAAACACAATTTATTCCAACAAAGATGATGTTAACAATATTCCCGGCAGACCACCTGCAGACCACAGGTGAAAAAATAAAATGTGATCTATTTAAAAAATTGTGTATCAGATGGTGTGGCTCAGTGGTTGAGGTCATGGTTTGATCCCCAATAAGGGCATATGCCCAGGTTGTGGGCTCAATTACCAGTGTGGGCTGTGTAGGAGGCAGCTGATCAATGATTCTCATCATTGATGTTTATCTCTCTCTCTCCCTCTCAGAAATCATTTTTTTTTTTCAATGAGAATGCCACACTGCTAGAACTACTTACATAATTTAATTAAAAGCAAGAGCTCAAAAAAAAGTCAGAAATAGATAAGATCACAAAATAAAAGATACTCAGGATGAAACTTTTAATTGGGTTCTATATTTCTAGTGCAACATACCTGTAGTTTGATTGGGGCACTTTGTTAAGACCTCCGGCGCTCTGAATCCCGGTGTACCTGCCCTAGGGGCAACCTGTTGTCGCCTTACGATGACAAAATAAGATTTTTCTAGTTAAAGTTTAATTACTGAAGAACAAAAAATAACACTTATTAACTTACTTCACAATATATTCCACCTTGATATCTATATAAAAAGTCATTATAGAGCAAATGATAATCCAATGTGATGAAAATTCTAAATCTACTTCTATGGATCCTTCTCCATCATCTCTACTAGTTCCCAGGCCTTATTCCAGTAAGGTTTTAGGGTAACTTCCTGGTATAAAAAGAGGTAGTAGGATAAGAGCCATAACAGAAAAATAGAACTCAATATGAATTCAGAATATGCAAATTTCCTTTTATTTGGAGCAATATACTTATTCATTAATACATTTATTAATTATTTAATTCTGGTTATTCTACGTTGGCAGGAATAAAGAAAGAAAACAGATTAAATCAGCAAGCAAAACGTGCAATTCTAAGGTTCTGGAAAGGCGATTACCCCTCCAAAATTATTTGCACATAAGAGCAAGTGTGTTTTCCAAAGTGCACATATCATATGAACACTATATGGCAATAGTTATCATTTGCTCTTCCAGGTATCGCTCTGCATCAGTGCCCATGTAGTTCACAGAATTGTGTTGCTCTCTTTCACTCACTACATCAATTGATTCAGAGAATCGATGCAGTTTTTAATCTTGCCTAGCAGCATGCTGGTGACTTTATAACACCGTCAAAACACATTACCTTGAAAGGCAAATACTGCAAACTTTATCTGTTGCATAACAGTCACAGGTCAGACTGACTGGGCAAGAACTGGTAGTTTTCTTCATCACACCACTATTCATAACTTTGGCAGAAACAGCCTTCTTTTTGGTTGCTAACTTTCTGTAGATTACATCCACAGCCTTTGACTGCTTCATAAGCTGTAAAAGAAAAGTCATATTTTCTATTTTCATGATGCCTTCAAATGATAGTATGGCAAAATGCAAAACTTTTAAAACTGCTGCATGTACTATTGGGTTATAAGCAAATAGTTGTCTATCAAAACATGTAAGGTGTTTTAGATTTTTCTGTTGAATAAACTTATTAAAATTTACTAATTAGTCCTAGTTTGGTAAATAGTTAACTTCTACTTTACTCGAACTTTTCCTGATATGTTACAAACATATACAAGGTATGTTCTAGTGTCTAACTCCATTTCAGAACTGTAAACTGCACCATTACATTGGCTAAAATCAGAGTTTTAATGTGTTGCTCACTCTAGCTAGCTGTAGAAGGATAGCTTAAGTCATTTTAAAACCTTTTAACATTGGTGACAGTTTATAAACTTTACAAACATCTTTATGTTATCAACTGTGTCAGTAATGTGTTAGCTGTTGCAAGTTCACATTCTAGCCAGTGAGAGAAGAGGCCTTAATGATCCAAATGTTCCTTTAGAGAAAGAACAGTCAGCTAATGAAAAATTTCACCAGAAGAGTTCAGGGAAAAAAAAGTGCTGACTAGATACTCAAAGCAAGTAAAACCTTCTGCCAAAGCAAAATTCTGCTTTTAAAAAATTCCTGACAATAAATACTAATCTAACCATTCCCTAAATTCTCTTCAATGTACGACTAACTGATTGCACTAATAAGCTACATTACTTACTTTCACTGTAGGGCTCTCATGTGAAATGGAGCTGTGTATATTGAAATTTCTTTCTCCAAAAACAGAGCGCTGGACAGAAAGGCCTACAGAGCCATCCTACAATACCAACAAAAACAAGGAAAATAAGGATTATATCTGTAACACTTTCTGCCAGCTGTACTCTGCCATAGTTTTGAAAGAGTTAAGTGACATGAAACAAAAACAGCTGCATCCAAGTCATTCTCAGGCACCAAAACACTTCTGTGAAAGGAGAAAATAGTCTAGACAGAACTCTTAACACCCATACAATGTTATCATAGTCCACAAATATAAGTAACTAAAAAAATTCAAAAACCACCTGCACGGTTGTTACATTTGGCATTGCAGCTAAAATGGAGATAGACACTTCAGAATTTCCCCCTGTAACTAATGTTTTCTTGTAAAAAGGCTAATTAATCTGAACTTTAAAACATGCAGGAAAAATTTATTATTTTCCATTTTTGTTATATAATGTAATTGTAATGGCAAAGACACCATAAATCTACCACATAAACTTCAGTTTTAAAATGGGAAAACAAGTCGTTACAAAACTTTGTAGAAATCTAATCAACTGGATATATAACTGAAAAACTATTTTAAATTGCAAGTTATTATTCTAGTACTATATCTCCCTCTGTTGGATGAAGAAATACATTTCTAAAACTGTGTTAGTACTTAAGAAATAAAAGAGGTAGAACCTTTCCATCTTTTCCTTGTTTAATCTGAATCTGCGCATGTGTGTAGGGCCTTTTCACAGAAGTGTTCGTGGTGGGCTGCTGATCCAGCTCCCTCGGTGCTGCGGAGCCACTTAATGACATCTTGTTTCCGGAAATCACATGGACTTTATTTTCTGAACGACTTTCCTGCTGAGCTTCAGACTGGACAAATCTGAGAAGTTCTATTTTCGTATCATGGGTTCCTTGGGCCAAACCAAAGTCTACCAAGGCATACCTAAGAAGCAAAAGCAGGTTTTTAGTTCTCTGTAACAATTAAAGCTCATTAACATCATAACTACAGTCAAACAGAAACTGTAATTGTTTTGTGACCAATTAAGAATTTATAACATTCTTAAAAAAAAGAAAAAAAAAGAAAAACAAGTTTTACAGACAAGGTAAGGACTTAACAGCTAACTAAGATTGAAAACTAAGAAACGATGTATCACACACCCACATCCACACACAAATCTTTTATCCTCTTTTTCCAATGGCTTGTAACTGGCAAGAAAGACAAGGAATGAAGTGTATAAAAACAATCTTTCTTCTCTAATGATACCAGAAATGTCATCATAACAAATAATTTTTTTGTTATGTTGTTAATCCTCACCTAAGGATATTTTTTTCCATTGATTCTTAGAGAGAGTGGAAGGGAGAGAGGGAAGGAGAAAAAGGAGGAAGAGAAGGAGGGAGAAAGAGGAAAGAGAGAGAAGGAGAGAAACATCCATGTGAGAGAGACACATCAATTGGTTGCCTCCTGCACATATGCCCCAACGTGGCTACATGCCCTTGACTAGGAATTGAACCCATGTTCCTTCTGTGCTTGGGCTGACACTCTAACCACTGGCAAACATTGGCCAGAGCAGCAAAAAATTTTTTATTAAACAAATTTAAAAGATAAAAGTTAGAGTTCTATTCTTCTTACCACTTAATATGATCCATTTGAATGAAGGGCAATATTTGAGTTTCAATGCCTCTATGTATACATATAATCAGCATAAAATTACACATAAACACAAAACTTAGTGTTGAATAGGAAATGGCTATCATGTGGTCCGATCCCCTCATTTACTAAAAAAGAAAAATGAAGCCCAGAGATAAAAAAAAGAAATGTATAAGGTCAAAAAGGATGAGACCCTTGCTAAATTTTTTAGCTGAGTGCCATTTCCACCAAGCCATGGAACAGCTAATGATGCACACTGCTTTGCTAATACAAATTTACCTTCTTCACTATATTCCCCTTCTCTGATCATAATGAAAATGTGAAACAGGCAAAACATGTGCCTGGCTGCTGTAGTATGTTCTAAGTTCTAGGAGATAGATCCCATGGCACAAATCCACTCAAGTGTAAATCTTTCCTGGTAACTTCCCATACTTACTTTTTCAGGCGCCTATTATATAAAAAATTGCTGGGCTTCACATCACGGTGAACAATACCAAACTGATGAATGCGTTTCAAAGCTTTGAACAGATTAAACATATATTCCCGTACTTCTTGAAAGGAAAGGGAATTCAAGATATCCTAAAATAAAGTTATAAATAAGGTCAGAACATTTTTTAAATTAAACATTTAGTTAATAAAAATTCAAGAAATATTAAAACCTACCAAAAAGGACTCATGCTCCAGATATGGCATAGCAATAACCACATGATCGTTTTTCCTAAAGCAGTATTTAACTCCCATGACATTGTCTTGCCCCCTAGTGGAAAAATGCACATTGAACTTTAGAGAAAAGGTCAAATAAACTGAAACTTCATGCCTATTTTTTTAATGCAATTTTAGTAATACATAAATAATGTTAGAAAACTAACTTAAAACTATCATTATATAGGATAACATACAAATTTCACTGACTTGTACAATATAGTTTTTATTAAAACAAAAATAACACCATTTATGAAGTTACTATAGTAACTAAAACATGATATAATTATAGTTTTAATGGGATGAGTGACAGATGAAAAGAAAAAGATGAATAAGAATGAGTTATTAAGATTAGTAGCAGATACGATAATAATAAATTCAAAATAAATAAATTCAAAATAGCTAACATTTATTCACTGTATGCCAAGCTCTGATCTAAGCACTTTACATCTATTAACAATTCACTTAATGTTCACAACCCTATGAGGATGGTGATTTTATTTCCTCCCCCTTTTCTACAGGTAAGGAAACTGAGGCACAGAGAAGTTAAGGAGCTTCCCCATTAAACTAGCATGTCATGGAGCCAGGATTTGATTCCAGGCAGTCTGCTCCTGATCTATGTATGCTCTTAACCACGATGCTACCCTGCATCCCATAAAAGGGTAAAGCTGATTTCCATGACTTTGAATCTAAGTGGGTAAAACAACATAGATGCCAATAAAATAGAAAAGAAATCAGGAAAAGAAGCTTCAAAACCAAGACCTGATTATGTTGATAAAGATATAGAGATATAGGACTAACCCTTAAGTGAAAGGTCAGTGACAGTTCTTGCAGAGAAGTGAAACATACAGCAGTGAAAATTATTAGAGAGAAGAAAAAACTACACTTTGGAAAATTCTCAAGTTTGAGGTCAAAATAAGGAGGAAGGGGCAGAAAGCCCAGACAGAAATATCACCCAAGGGAGGAGCTTTGAAGGAAGGGGTGATCAGCATGGAGGTCAAAGAGAATAAGAACAGAGGGAAGGCTTTTAGTTTGGCAAAGAGGAATTAACTGGTAATTTTTCAGAGAGCAAATTAAATGGAGAGGAAGAGGTAAACAGGTTTTAAGGAGGAAAATAGATGGAATTAGAACACAAAGACAATTTGTCTGAAATATCTGGCAAAGAAAAGAAAAAAAACCAGTGTGGGAAGCTAGAAGGGAAGCAAGATCAGATACTTTTTTAGCATGCACTTTTAAAGTACAAGGAAAGAAAAGAAATTATCTTATTTAAGGAATAAGAATGCATACAATATAAAAAGAGAATGTATATCATCTTGCCTTAGAGAGGCCATTTCATCCTCTTATCTTCTGTAATAAACAGAAGGATGAAACAAAGAAATAACCTTGTTCATTCATTCTATAAATATTTAGTGGGCACTGTTATTTGCTAAACACTATATCAGACATTAAGGATGCAATGGTGAATTAAAGTTAACACCACTTATGCCCTCATGGAGTTTATTATCAGATAATAAACAAGATAACAAACAGTGACAGATGATGAATTTTTAAAGAAATCAAAAGGAGCTTGACAATAAGAAATAGAATCTAATTTAATTCAGGGAAGAACTCAAAGAACTCCTTGAAGTGGTGCCCCTCTTGCTGAGATGAGGAGCAAACACTATGGGTAGTGGCCCTGAATGGGGTAAGAAAGCTCTTGACAAATTTGAGGAACTGAAAAAACTGGAGCACAGTGAGTGAGGTGAGAAGATTTGAATGAGACAACGCTAGATTTTTTTTTTCCCCCAAAGTATTCTGGGAAACCACTGAAGGATTTTAAGTGGTTAAAGTAACAATATCCAATTTATATCACATACATACCTATTTTTATATTTTAAAGATCACGCTGGCTCTTTTGCAACCATGGGATTAAAAAAGGAGGAGGACTGAAGTAGTGGTTGAGAAAATACAAAAATGTTAGATGAGTTTTTAGATATACTTTGGAGGCAAAATGGCCCAGATTTGGTGATGAATGTGGTTCAGGAGAAAAATAGAGACACTGCATGCGGATAAGTACTAAGTTTCTGGCTTAAGCAACTAGATAGAGATGGTGGTAGCATTCACTGAGTTTGGTAGAGGAAAACCAGTTATTGTGATATGATTTTTTTTTTTTTGGTAGGCAAAGATGGATTAAAATTTAATTTTTGACATATGATGTTTGAGATGTTTATTAGGTACCCAAGTGGAAAATAAATGAATGGGACTATATAAAACCGAAGAGATTCTACAAAGCAAAAGAAAGAGACAACAAAACAGACAGCCAACCAGATGGGACATGATATTTGCTAACAGTAGCTCTGACAAAGGTTTAATGTCCAAAATATATAAAGAACTTGTAAAACTCAACACCAAACAAATAATCCAATCAAAAAGTGGACAGAGGGCCGAAACCAGTTTGGCTCAGTGGATAGAGTGTCAGTCTGCGGACTGAAGGGTCCCAGGTTCAATTCCGGTCAAGGGCATGTACTTTGGTTGCAAGCACATCTCCAGTGTGTGTGGGCGGGAGGTGTGTGTGTGCAAGAGGCAGCTGATCGATGATTCTTTCTCATGGATGTTTCTAACTCTCTATTCCTCTCTCTTCCTCTCTGTAAGAAATCAATAAAATATATTATAAAAAAAAAAAAGGGGGGGGGACAGAGGACCTGAAAATATACCTCTCCCAAGAAGACATACAAACAGCCAAAAGGTATATGAAAAGATGTTCAACTTCACTAGTAATTAGGGAAATGCAAATTAAAACTACAATGAGACACTACCTTACACCTATTAGAGTGGCCATTATCAACAGGACAAGCAATAACAAGTGCTGGAGAGATTTTGGAAAAGCGGGAACGCTCATTCGCTGCTGGTGGGAATGTAAACTGGTACAACCTCTATAGAAAGCAATCTGGCGATTCCTCAAAAAATTAAGAATAAAGCTACCATATGACCCAGCAACCCTACTCCTAGGGACATACCCAGAAAACTTAAAATAATTTATTCACACAGATATATGCACCCCTATGTTCACTGCAACCAAAGTGGCCTGCGATAGAGGACTGGATAAAGAAGATGTGCTATATATACACAATGGAATACTACTCAGCCCTAAGAAAGGATGAAATAGCGTCATTTGCAACAACATGATGGACCCTGAGAACACTATGCTAAGTGAAATAAATCAGACAGAAAAAGCTAAGAACCATATTTCACTCATATGTGGAATATAAAACTGAAACTTATGAACACAAACATCAGTGTGATGGTTGCCAAAGGGAAGGGGGGAGAGAAGTGAATCCTTATATGAGGTGACAGGAGAAGATGTGACTTGGGTAGTGGGCACATGGTGTATATACAGAGTTTCTAACTTAGAAAACCACACATGAAACCTCTATGTTTATGTTGACCAATGCCACCCCAATAAAATGTAATAAGAAAAGAAAAGAAAATTACAAATAAGCAGGTGGATATATACCAATCTGCAGTTAAGAAATCTGAGGCTAGATATATACTTAAGAGAATAATTACAACGTATTTAAAGTCATGCGGAAATACATGATCCTAGAGAATAGGCAGATTCAAGAAAGCCCAGGATCAAGCACTGAGAATCTCCACCATCTGGGAGTCAGGTAGAGCTGGCAATGGACAATGAAATGGAAAGGCCAAATAAAGCAGGAAGAAAAAAGAAGTATGTAGCAGTATAGAAGACAGGTTCAAATCAAGTATGTTGAACACTGCCTAGAGTGCATGTGAACAGATACAGGAATTGGCAAAATGAAGTCATGGGTGACTCATCTAAAGGAGTTTCAGTTTAGCAAAGAGAAGAGCAGCCACACTTTATGTGTAGCGAATGGGAGGTGTGGAAGTGAAAATAGCACATGTAGATTCATTTTGGGTAAGTCTGACTGTGAAAGGGAGCAAAGAAATGATGGAGCATCAAGAAGTAAGACGGCAGTACAGGGGGGATAAGAGATACTATATCATGTCCATATGTTGATAAGAATAACCTAGCATAGAGAGACAGACCAATGAGAGAGACATGCCAGGTAGTTCTGTTGCTCAAAATAAAATATGAGATGAGGCTGTCTATAGCAGGGGAGATGTGAAATATAAGTTCCCTACATTATAAAAAATATCTAGATCATATGCCAAGCTTTATGATTTGGCAAGAAGATGAGAAAAAATGTGGTAAGAGAACTGTAAATCAAGCTTATCTCAGGAAAATCCACTGCAAAAAAATTAGAATAAATTTAACAAACCATTCCAAGGTTAGAAGAAAAGTACTAGCAAATTGCAAACACCTGACTGAAGAATATGTTTAATTAATGGACAATCTCACTATCCCCATTACACAGCTACTTAAAAATCTTAAAAAATTTATACAGCCAGTTCAATTAAAATTTTAACTGCCTACCCAGCCACTGTTAGGCACTGGAGTTCAGCTGCAATTCTTATAGGATGACTTGTTGGAATTAAGTGTTTTAGAGCAATTTTCTCTTCAGGTCCTACTTGTAACTGTGCTGTGGCCAAATAAACAGAGCTGAAAGTGCCTGTAAAACAATTTATTAGATTTTTCAATATTTGGTTTTTTAAAATGTTACACAACTTATTTTCAATTTTTAATAAATTCGGAACTGTACTCAGTTTTTTAGGAGATACTATATTAATTTCTAGGGGACACTATAGTAAATCTGTTTGACTGGGTTAGCATAATGTCATAATCCACTCTAAATAAGTATTTTTTTGTAATATTGGCATTTTAAACTACTTTCTTAGATACTGGTCTGTTAGAAGTAAAATTATAATAGTGTTAGGGGGAAAAAAAAAACACAAAAACACCTGGGCTTTTAAATTTAGCATTAAACTAAAGAGAGAAAAAAATTGGTGGCCAATTAAACTTGAGAAATACTGATTTAAAACAAATTGATAGATTTTTTTTACTAAAATATTTTCCAGAGCTGCTAATGTGTTCATCATGAACAATCAAAAGGAAACTATACACATTACATTTCTCAAACTTATTTATAAAAACAGCCATCAGTCTGTAAGGACACTGTTGTATTCCAGAACAAAGTTTTTGCACACTAAGCCAGTGTTCAAAAGATAAGGAAACGATATAAAGATCTTACATCCCAAATCATCAATCTCATCTTCAAATTTCTCTTCCCCCAATGACACAGACTTTTCTATTTTTCCTTGTGAAAAGCAAGCAAGAAATTATATGGAAGATTTTTAATATTTAGGGATTTCTCTACATAATCACCAAAAACTCCATTATCTTTTTATTATCTCATTCCCTTCATATCTGTTTGCCAAATTCACCCTTCATTAAATCAAAATGATTGTCAGTTTTTCCTTTTTTCGATTTTTTACTTAATCCTCCCCTAAGGATATGGTTTTCATTGATTCTAGAGAGAGGAAGGGAGAGGGAGAGAGCGAGAGAAACATCGCTCCATTGCCTCCTGTACCAGATACATGCCCCAACTAGGGATCAAACCCGAAACCTGGGTATATGCTCTGACCAGAAACTGAACTCGAGACTCTGCAGTGCCTGGGATGATGCTCCAACCAACTGAGCCACATTGGCCAGGACAACTATCAGTCTTTCAATGATATTTATGTTAATACTAACCATCCTATAAATATTGTATCACTTTATTTTTATCATTTTGCCATCTAATTTTCATATATGTTTCAATGTACATACAATTCTACCTAACTGCAATTGAGAAAGAGATAAGACTTGGCTTTTTGTATCAAATCTCTCCATCTGAATATTAAAATTTTCACTTTTAGTAATTATAATTACTAATATATTATTAATATAGCAATATTTTTAATAGCATAAAAGTTTTATAAAGATTAAAATAAGGCTGTTCATTTTACTATAAATACTTATTTATCCTGTTATTCTTTCAAGGGAAAAACAGAAAAGCTGCTACCTTTATATTACTACTAATAACAGTAATATAAACATGGTCTTAATATTTTTTAAAGAAGTATGTTTTTCAATAAGAAATAATAATGAACATCAAGATTAAATAAGGAAAACAGAAGAGGAGAAAAAAACTTAAAAAGATAAGTATATCCCAAATTACCTTCTCCAATTTTGTCCTTTATCCTAAACACATTACGGAGCTGTGGTACAGCTTCATAAAGCTTCTCGATATCTTTTTTAACACCTATCAAGGAAAAAAAAACAATTTATAATAAAGATTAATGAGCGTATATTTTACACTTTCTTTTTTGTTTTTCAAAATATGTTTTTAATATTTTCGGAGAAAGGACAGGAGAGGGAGAGAGAGAAACATCAATGATGAGAATCATCAATCAGCTACCTCCTGCACATCCCCTACTGGGGATTGAGTCCACAACCTGGGCATGTGCCCTGACCAAGAATCAAGCTGTGACCTCCTGGTTCATGGCCAACACTCAACCACTGAGTCACACCAACTGGGCATACAACTTTTTTAAGTTAAAAAACTCAAAATTCTAAAACATGAATTAAGTTACAAATATATAGGTATAATAAGCCTTAAAAATCGTAAGAATAATTAAAACCCCATCCAGTTGTCGTAAATCACATACAACTCCATTGTTGTTGTAGTTCACATACACCTCTTGAACTAACAGGCAAAATTGATAAGCCCCAAAATAACACACACAGAATTTCTATTATTTTGGAATTACTACGTACTAACAGATATACTGTCTCTGCCTACAGTACAACACAATGAAGAAGCTAAATTTAAAAAATAACAATTTTTTCTATGATCACTAGATGGCATGACAAGGATATAATGCAATCTCCTTGGAAACTACTTCCTTCCCCCAAAGACATAAAATCTTACAGACTTGGGAAAGTTTTGTGTATTGTATATTCACAGTATTGCCTCAGGGAGAAAGTCTACTAAGGCTCTGAGGAATGTTAAAAAATATATTTTTTAAATTATCCCATTAACAATGGCATCCTCTATCCTTTACCACAAATAAATTGTTACATTTTAATAAATACAAGTTCTTTATAAAATATACATGGTTAAAATAAGAGAAGCTATAATACAAAATGAGATAAACTACTGGAGACAAAAGAGAACTATATACTTGAGTCATCAGATTTTATTCCAATATCTAGGCTAACCATCAGCTACTTTTTTATCATATTTCTCCACAAAGTCTAACAGTTTAAGACATTTCAAAGCACTTTCACATGTATTATCTTTTCAGATCTTCACAACAGCACTGTGATATTAGCAGAACAGGAATTACTTATTACCCTGACTTTTCAGATAAAGAAATCCTATTCAGGGAAGTTAAATCATATGCCCAATTTCACAGAGGTATTGCTCATACTCATTCATTCTACAAACACTGTGTTTTAACAAATGCTCAGCAACGGCTATATTTTTAAAAATGAACAAATTTGGTGCAGTTCGTTCTCTAAGAGCTTAATCTAGTGGAAGAGACAGATATTAAAAGATGATAACCCTTATAACTTCATGTGGCTGGCTCAATGGTCAGTCCCCTCAGATATCTATTTAAATTAGCACCCTCCCATTATTCACATCATCCTATTTACTGTCTTTGGAATACTTATCTACTGTAAAATTATCCTGTTTATTATTTGTTTGCTGTCTTCCTCCTACCACTAGAATATAAGTTCCACCAATACAAGTTCCCTATCTGTATAATTCACCACAGCACATTCAGCTCTTAGTACAGTGCCTGGCATGGTTGTTCAATGAATGAGTTATTACCATCATTAGGGCCATTCAGAGGTAGCTGTAAAAACAAAACAAAAAATTTTACAAGTTACAAAAGAATGAAACCAGACAGAAGCAGCTACCTCACTACCAGCTACCACTTCACTCTAGAAACCAAAAACAAGGCCCAGGTGGGAAGAACAGACTTTGTAAGTCTTATTTGCCACAGTCCATTAGAATCTTTCCAGCTTCAAATTCGTGTCAAGGTACCATGTGCCTTTCAACTTGATAGTACAGCATTCATATTTAACCCATACGTGCCAAATGGAGGCAAGGAGGAGCAGCAAAAGTGGTGAAGAAAGCAAATGTAGGCAAGCTCCAAATAATTGGGCTCCTCTTAAGGGCCCATTAACAATGGCTTAAAAAAAAAAAAAAAGGATTCATCATAAAGAAATTTACATTAGTGATATGTAGAGAATATGTTGAGGGGGAAAATAGGGCATTCAATAACTCTGTGTACAAAAAATGACTCACAAGAAACAGGTCTGAAAAGTTTATTTTCCTGCCCAACTAGTGTGGCTCAGTGATTGAGCACAAATCCTCGAACCAGGAAGTCACGGCACGATTCCCGGTCAGGACATATGCCCAGGTTGTGGGCTCAATCCCTAGTGAGAGGCATGCAGGAAGCAATGGATCAATGATTGTCTCAGCATTAATGTTTCTCTCTCTCTCTCCCTCTCCCCTCCTCTCTGATATCAATCAAAATATACTGAAAAGTTTATTTTCCTTTTTAAGTACATACCAGAGATATACAAAGATTTGTCTAATTAGGTCTGAAAAAACTATGTATAAAAGAAAAAATTCTAGGTTATAAGAAAGTGTTGTGTCATAGTATAACTGCCAGCATTTGAGTAGTGCATAAAATCTTACACTCAACAATGTCTAGATATGATGAAATATTTTAGAAACCTTGTTTGTAGTATTTTTATTAAATGTATTGAAGAGTTTTTGTGCATGTTTTGTTACTGTGTACATGATTGATTATACCAAAAGCTTTGTAGTAGAATAACAGAGTTGCTACTATCCACTAGGTAGTTTCATGTGTCTATTCACATTTAAATTAAATTAATAAAATTAAAAATTAATTTCCTCAGTTATACTAACCACATGTGACAACAGAAAAACACTTCCATTATCACAGAAAGTCCTACTGGACAGTGCTGATAGAGAAGCAAGCCTGGAATCTAAAGATCTGGATTTCACTCCTATCATTAAATCACACAATGCTCAATTCTTAACTTGTAAAACAAAGGCTTTGGATTAGATGAACTTTACTTTCCAGCTATTATAGTCTATGGCTTCCCATTAGTTCATTTTGGAATTTCCCTTTGCATAAGCATGCACTGGCAATAAGTAGTAGAGATGCTGGTCAACTAATAGAAATTACCAGGAAGGAAATCCTGGGCAGGGGGGATGGGAGGGATGGGAGGGAGTGGAGGGAGTGGAGGGAGCTAAAGGTGAGAGGCAGGGCCAGAGCAAAGGCAAAAGGTGACTCCAGTTGGAGTGAAGGCGGAAGGTGGCGGCCAGAGTGAAGGCCTGGGTCCCAGGTGCCAGAGGGAAGCTGGTGCCATAGTCAGGGAAAGGAAGGCTATTCTTACACGAATCTTCGTGCATCTAGTAGATGTAATAAGAAAACACTGTAATGCATAAGCCATGTGAATGACTATGTAAGCTTAATGCACTTCCATACCACTACTCACTATGACTTACCTACCATTACAAAACTCTAAATATGTTTATATTAAAATTTCCTGTCACAACAGAACAAATTTGACATTTTCAAACAATAATAAAACTCCCTGACAACCAAAGTGAATGCAAAATCCTCAAATTCTGAAAGGGATGAGAGCAAGGAGACAGAAGGGAACATTCATATCATGCTAGAAAATACTAGTAAAGGTAGAGACCTTGTTATATATAATTATATATATATAAAGTTATTTAAATGTCCATATTTTATAACGAAGTCTCGGTTTCTGTTTTTTCCGCCTCATAATATATCCAACAGCCTCCTTAACTGTGCTCTCTGTTTTCATGCTTGTTGGCCTATAGTTGCTCCATATAAAACCCAGAGAACTACCTCCTCTCACACTTCACTTGTATCACCCTCCCACTTCCAGCCCAAATAACCTCCTGGCTGTTCCTAAAAACTAGGCACACTCCCCTCTGAGGGTCTTCCAGTTTGCTGTTTCCTCTGCCAGGAATGCTCTTGGATTATGACAATGTTTCTTACCTAAATTGCCTTTTACTTTTTTCTTTCCTCCAGTGCATCTAATACACTGCTACTAAGATAATCTTACAATGCCACTTTCACCCATTTTCATGGATGCTGTCCCTCTTCTTTTCCATTCTGTTGCAATTACCTGTTTTTCATGGTCCAGTTTTCCCCTCGTGTCATAGGACACATAACTCAGTAATGCAATTACTATATTATTTTTCTTGTAGTTTAGCACTCTGTATTTTGCCTCTTCAATTATACTATGAGCTCCTTAAAGGCAATTATCTCGTAGAGCTCCAAATACAGGGGGTACACTGAGTCATGAGACAGTTATGTGAGTGGAATCCATCAGCTTTCCTTACTGAAGTTATATATTTGATATAACCTTAGCTTTTATTCAGGGTTATAAAAAAAGCCATATGAAAAACATTTCAACATGTCCTATAAATTACCAAAGGCACTGTTTATAATGTTCAATGTTCTGTTACATAAAAACCACAAAACTTTAAAAATTTAGAATAAAATTCACCCTACTTTTTATTTCCCAGATTTCCAGAAGAATATTAAAAGAGTAGCTTTCACCTGAACATAATGCTAGAACCTGGCAGTTTAAAATTCTGCTCATACTTTTTTACATCCATTCTGCCTAATGTATACCATATGTTTTGTCACACATTCTTAAAAAAGATAAGCCCAGCCAGCAAGGCTCAGTGGTTGACCATCAACCTATGAACCAAGAGGTCACAGTTCAATTCCTGGTCAGGGCACATGCCCAGGTTGTGGACTTGATCCCCATTGGGGGCAATACAGGAGGTAGCTGATCAATGATTCTCCCTCATCACTGATGCTTCTACTTCTCTATCCCACCCCCTTCCTCTCTGAAATAAGTAAGAAAAATCTTTTATTTTATTTTATTGTAAGTAAAATATGCCCTAGCCAGTTTTGCTCAGCAGATAGAGTTTCAGAATACAGACCAAAGGGTCCTAAGTTTAATTCCGGTCAAGGGCACATACCTTGGTTAGAGGCTCCTCCCTGGCCAGGCCCTGGTCAGGGCACATGCAGGAGGCAACCAATCAATGTGTCTCTCTCACATCGGTGTTTTTCTCTGTCTTTCCCTCTCTCTTCCACTCTCCCTAAAAATCAATGGAAAAATGTCCTCAGGTGAGGATTCACAACAACAACAAAAAGTAAAATAAAGTTGGATATGAGAAGCAAATATAAAGCCTAGGTTGAAGACAACTCTAAAGTTTTAAACATAAACATGTGGGATAATAGTGGCTTTTATCACCAAAAACAGGGATGTCAGGAAGGGTACAAATGTTGACGGGGGAGTTCAGTTTCGGTCAGAAATGAACAGCATGTGACATCAACCCTGGCAGGTGGCTCAATTGATTAGAGTGTCCTCCCAATAGGCCAAGGTTGCAGATTCTATCTCTAGTCAGGGCACATAAAAGAAGCAACCAATGAATGCACAACTGAAAGAACAAATCAATATTTCTGTCAAAATCAATCGATCAATAAAATATTTTTTAATTGCCATTTCAAATTTCTTATTTTGTTTTGTTTTTTAAAGCATGTGTTGGCCCTATCCGGTTTGGATCAGTGGATAGTGTCAGCCTCTAAAGTGAAGGGTACCAGGTTCGATTCCAGTCAAGGACACATGCCCAGGTTGTGGGCTCAATCCCTAGTAGGGGGCATGCAGGTGGCAGCCAATTAATGATTCTCTCTCACCACTGATATTTTTTTCTTTTTCAATAATTTTTCCCCATTGATGTTTCTATCTCTCACTCCCTTGCCTTTCCTCTCTAAAATCAATTTTTTTAAAATGTATTAAAAAAAAAAAAAGCATGCGATGACATTTTTCTAGGATGGGGTTAAAGTCTACTTTGTAGTGTTTAAGTATATATCATGAATGAGTAGTTAAAACTAATATCTTTTGGACAAGTACAAAATTGCTTAAGACAAAGATGGAAAAGAAAATTTAGCTACCTTTTAGGGAAAAAAATACAGTCAACTGATACTCCTCTATTTAGCAAATATTTACTAAATGTCTATGTCCCAAGCACTGTGTTAGAGCAGGAACCTTCGTACAAGATCAGGAATTGTTAGACCCCTCTCCTCATTTCAAGGTCTGGCTTAGGGTCAAATAACGTTTCATGATGTACACTGAAATATAGTGCTTTATTTCTGCTACAAACATTTCACTTATTATTATCACCGAATACTGCTTTTGAATACTTAACCGAAAATCCCTCCCCTGTCAATTTTGAAATCCAAGTTTAATGTAATATGGTGAGTAGACATAAGAACATAGGCCTAGGAGAAGAGAACTTCTAGTTTGGGTATCAACAAACTTTATGTTCTTAGACAATCACTAGTATTTAGAAGCAACTTCATCTGCAAAATGACACTGATGGACTACACTCTCCTTCTAAAATGCAATTCAGTCCCAAATCTAGATCTTAGAAAACTTTGCTGATGTGTAAAAAAATGCTCTTATTTATACATATAACTCACTTTAAGATTCAAGAAGTTGTGTGTGTGTGTGTGTGTGTGTGTGTGTTTAAATATTTGAAATTATACAGAATGGCTGCCTGTACATCTTTAAAATGACACACATACCTGATAGTTTAAAATTCTGCTCATAGCTTTTTAAAGAGCCATCCACCTGTAACCGGTCACGCCGGGGAGAAAAAGCCATAGGTTCGTCCACCTGAATCTCCATCACGACACACCTGTGATGCAAAATGCCAGCTAAGGGGTCATGTCCACCGAGGGAGCCAAGCAGCTGTGAAAATTAGAACACCAGAGAAGGCACAAGTTTAAATTACTCGCTGAACCAAGCACTGACAAATGACAAAGGGGCAAACATGTAAAAAAAATAAAAATAAAAATAAAAAATAAATCATGTGTTAACATCCCCGAAGGAAGGAAGAAAACTGTGGGCCATTGGAAAGGTTCCGTTTGCTTCCCTTTCCCTTTCCAGAAATACGGGCAGGGGGCCCGAGGGCCGTCTCTAGCTGGGAGAGCCTCCGGGTGGGGGCTCAGCTGAGGGCGCTTGCCAGGGCCCCCCAGACCCAGCTCAGGGATCCTGGGTGTTAGGTCGGGGCAGGGGGAGGGGGGGAAGCCCAGAGCCGATGCAAGCATCTGCAAGGTGGATGGTGACAGACAGCTGGCTAGCTGGCGCCTTCCGACACCCCACCCGAGGCAGGAATTCCACGTCTCTCATGCCCTCCACCCTCCCCTCCCTAAACAGCTGCATAAAAGAAGTGCCTATGCCGCCTTTTGGCGCGAACTTCCCTGGCCCACCCAGGACCAGCGAGCTTCGCCCGGGAGGGAGCGCAGATTAAACCCTCCCCCCTTTTAATCGCCTGGATTCCGTGTCTTGCTTCTGCGTCGCTAACCTCTCAGCTGGGACCTTACACCGGGCACAGGGGGTTGGGGAGGCTCCCGTGGGGGCAGCGGTTGGACCGAAGGGGACCAGAGGAAATTTTCGTTCCACTACAGAAAGGCAGTGCCGGGAAGCTCCGCCGAGGCCCCAGGCAAGCTAGTGGAGAACTGACACACCACCCCGGGCGCGAGCGCCCGGAGGAGCAAGGGAGAGGGAATGAATGGACCCCGCAGAGGACGCGGACCGCGAGCCCCGCGGGGAAGGGCCGTCCTCCCTCTGACCCGACGCCGCACGGGTGCTCAGTGCGCAGGCGCAGCACGGCTTCCCGCCGCGGGCCGGCGGGCTCCCAGGGCGGGTCGGGGAGAACAGCTGCTGCGACCAGACTGAAGTCACCACCCGAAATTCGTTCCTGATCCTTCACAGTCCCGCGCCATGGAACAAACCGTTGGAAAACTCACAGTTTAAGGAAATGCGACTTCGGTGGCTCCCCAGACGCCTGGGTCGCCGGCTCCAAAAGCGCACCTCCTAGCGCCTCTGCCTGACGCGCCTGCGCAGCACTTCCCGCCGGGGCGCTCCTCAGCGCTCCTAGGTGCGCATGCGCAATACGAAGCCCCGCGCGCGCCGCGGGTTCTGCTCCCGGGCGCCTGCGCGAAGGGGCTGGGTTACTTCCCCAGGCGGTGGCCGGCCTTAGGCGGTTACGGAAATAAAACCCGGGAATAAACCTTTAATAAAAACATGGAGTGAGCCGTAACGATAAGTATTCTACACAATTTTTAGGGAAGAAGCTAATTCAGGAGCAGAAAAAAAAATCTCAGATTCTGGAGTGCTACTATATCTCAATTGGGCATTACACACAAGACTCATTTTGACTCCCTGCTTTTGCTTCTTTTTGTTGACTACCCTACTCCGTTAAAAAACAAACAAGAACAACAACAAAAAAGACACAAAATGTGCAACTGCTGGTTAGTTATGGCTGTATTCGCAGAAAACAGCCCTGTGGCATTCAGTCAGTGCATGTATTGAGCCTATGGACGGATAAGGGCCACATGCTGGCCCGTAGAAGGCCTTCATAGCAGCCTTGCAAACTCAGAGACCTAAAGTAACCACAAAAGAGGGTCTGAAATGGAAACTTTTTAAATTAAAATCAGTTTATGGCAGGTAGTCTTGTCTTACGCCAGTCTCTACCCCAGCAAAGGTCAGTTTTTACCTTAACTGAGCCCGTCTGTTGTCTTTTTACATCAATGATTACGCACTTGGAATGTCAAAGTAATGTTTATTTTTTCCCCCATCCCTTAAAGAACAGGCATTACTCTGCAGATACCACAAATCCCCTCATTGTCACTGAGTTAATTTTTGACTTATCTATCCTGGCACCCATCTAAATAAAAGAAGTATCTATCATTTTACTTTCTATCCAATCTCAGAGACTTTCTGGCTTTGCTTTCTTTCTCTAATCTATCACCTATGGATTTCACATAACCCACTTGTGTTATCTCTTTTGACTGTAATGTATAAAATAAAATAAAATAAAAAAAGGTGCAAAAACTGCCATTCTCCAGAGCATTGTCTCAATCCGTTGAGATTTTGCTTCCTGGCAATTGTCAACAGTTTGGGCTCAAATAAACTCACAAAAATTTGTCACATGTTTGAATGTTTCTTACGTTGACAAGCCTTTGACTATGAGGCGATTTTCTAGAGGCTGGAATATATAGCAATGACCCTGACAGAAAAAAATACTTTTTGAAACTGAATTCCAGAGAGTTGGTGACAATAAACAAATGAAGGAGTGAACAGCATTCTTTCAGATATTTATTAGTGCTCCAAAGAAGGGTTGTGATAGTGAGTAGGAAGGCGGCATCATGTTGGAAGCCAGGTAAAGAGATTACCACGTAAAGAATCAAGAAAGTGCAGAGTCAGGAATGATCTTGATATGCTTGAGGGGGGCAAATTTTTGTAGAACATCAATATCAGACAAGGCCACTCTGCGACCATGATGGATCAATACAGAAATGAGATCACTCTGTAATCATGTTGAACATAGACAAACATTGAGCAAACATTTCCCTATCCTAGTTAATATGAGTGACTGTTTCATTGTCATACAGTTTTAGCCTCAGTCCTCCTAGATAATACATATTAAAATACCAAATTATAGCCCTGGCCAGTGTTGCTCAGTTGGTTGAGCACCAAAAGGTCTCAGGTTCAATTCCTGGTGAGAGCACATGCACCAAAAGGTCTCAGGTTCAATTCCTGGTGAGAGCACATGCCCAGATTGAGGTTCCATCCCCATCCTAGGGGTGCATAGGAGAGGTAACCGATTGATGTTTCTCTCTCTCTCTCTCTCTCTCTCTCTCTCTCTCTCTCTCTCTCTCTCTTCTCTCTCTCTCTCTCTCTCTCTCACTCCCTTTCCTTCTTTCATCATCTCTCTTCAAAAAATGAATAAAACATATTTTTAAAATATTATAAGATTAGTCCTGCCTCCCTACAGCTTCCAATTCAGAGAAAAATTCCTCTTCCTTGCATCTTTCCCTAAATCATCTTACACAAACCCAAATTTCTAATACCCTCTTACTGAGATGTCCCATGGTTCTTCATAGTATGCATTCTCACTGAAACAAGTCATAAACCTAACTTGTTCAACTATAATTGTTTTCTTAGTGGTCTTTTTAAAAAATATATATTTTATTGATTTTTTTTACAGAGAGGAAGGGAGAGGGAGAGTCAGAAACATCAAAGAGAGAATCATCGATCAGCTGCCTCCTGCACACTCCCCACTGGGGTTGTGCCCGCAACCAAGGTACATGCCCCTGACTGGAATCGAACCTGGGACCTTTCAGTTCGCAGACCGACACTCTATCCACTGAGCCAAACCGGTTTTGGCTCTTAGTGGTCTTTAGCTGGAGAGCATTGATGATAATGAAGTTGGAGATGCCTATTACATACCCAAGTGCTAATGTCAAGTAAACAGATAAATATTTTGGTCTAAAATGGAGTTTAGGCTACATATAAATTTAGCAGTTATGAATTATATGTGAAACTTAAAACCTTGGGACTAGAAGAGATTGTCTAAGCAAAGATATAGAGAACTGGGCTATGAGAATTTCCAACATTTCAAAGTTGGGCAGAGGAGGAAGAGCCAGCAAGAGACTGGCTGTTATTTTACAAGACAGTGATGTGATAGAAGTCAAAAGAAGAAAGTTTTACCATTGAAAGGAAGTGGTCAAAACAATAGCAAATGCTGCATGGAAGTCAAGTAGTGAGACACAGAAATGGTTAATGGATTTGGCAATGTTGCAATTATCATACTAAAGCCTCTGGCAAGTGTAGTTTCAGCAGTGCAGTGTGGCAGAAAGACCAAGTGTATTGAAGAGCAAAAAGGTGTATGTATATATATAGGGACAAGACTTGAGGTTTTATTTTATTTTTTATTTTTTGTTAATTTCTTGGGGAGAGGGATTGGAGCTGGGGGAGGGAAGATGGCTAGAGTGGGTCAAGTAAAGAAGGGAAGTTTTTTCTTGTTGACATTGTTGTGTTGGTAGATAAAAGTTTATATTATAATTAAAGGCCCAGTGCACAAAATTTGTGCATGGGAGTGGGGGGTGGGAGGAGTGATGGTATCCCTCAGCCCAGCCTGCACTCTCTCCAATCTGGGACCCCTTCCCCCCCCCCCCCCCCCCGATCCCAGGGTCTAAACAGGCAGTCGGACATCCCTCTCACAATCCAGGACTGCTGGCTCCCAACTGCTTGCCTGCCTGCCTTCCTGATTATCCCTAACCACTTCTGCCTGCCAGCCTGATCATCCCCTAACCACTCCCATGCCAGCCTGATTGATGTCTAGCTGCTCCCCTGCCAGCCTCTTTGCCCCCAACTTCCCTCCTCTGCTGGCCTGGTCACCCCTAACTGCCCTCCCCTGCTAGCCTGATCACCGGCAACTGCCCTCCCTTGCAGGCCTGGTCCCTCCCAATTGCCCCCCTCTTGTGGTGGCCACCTTGTGTCCACATGGGGGCAGCTATCTTAATTTTATGTGTTGGAGTGATGGTCAATCTGCATATCACTCTTTTATTAGGTAGGATGGAATGATCTAGTACAGAAAGAGAAACTGTTGATGTTGAAGAAAAAGGGAATATCTATACGAATAAAATAATAGAGGAGAATGAAGGAGTGCATCCAAAGCATGGGAAAGGGAATGGACCTTTGAAAAGAAGCCAGATTCCCATTCTTTCAATGGGAGGGGAAGACAAAAGGTTAAGTCAGATGTAGATGTTTTGTTGGGGTGGGGGGGAGGATAAGGTAGTTCCTACACGATCACATCAATTTTCTTAATAAAATATGAG